CAATAAAATATATGAACAAATGAACAAATGAATGAATGAATGAATGTAGACAAGAATATCAACAAAGCAGAGGCCTAAGAACCAAGAGAGGAAGAAGAGAACTGAGATAACATATTTTTCCCATAAAGACTAGACAGTAAATAGATTAGATTTGCTTGCTGATCCAAGGAGTAATCAAAGATACTGCATGCATAATGTCAAGACTGAGGACCTGAATTCAATTCCTATAATCCACATGGTGGAAGGAGAGAACCCACTTACAAGGGCTGCCCTCTAAATCTCCATGGTATACACACGCATGCACACACATGTATAAATAAATAAACATTAAAAAACCTGCCACTAAAGCTTTATCACTTCCAAAACATCAAAGCGCTATACAGTAGGAAAGTCAGGATCACAGTCTGTGAGAGCTAAATCACTAGAGCAAATAAATCTCATTGCTTTCATTCCTATAAGTGTTCTACAGGCAGTACTCACAGATAACACAATGAAAGGCCCAACTTTAAATAGTTGCCATTGCCCCAGCTTTGTATTAGTACACCAAACACTTTTCTCTGCTCTATGTAGATATTTTTCCCACTGTCAGTTATAACAAAACTTGGTATACTCGCTTCAGGTTAGACTGACATTTTGAAAATAATCTTAAAAGGGAAAAAAAAAAGTCTTAATGAGATTCAACTCAATACAGTATTCACTCACTGAAAGTATGTGGCTGTATTTAAAAATATTCTCGCCTACGTTCCAGAGAGACTGAGTCCTCAGGCACTGAAGCTCAGCACTGACTTCTTGCAGAAAGACCACCAGCAACCCTGGCACAATGTAAGATGGTCTTGGTGTTTGCCTCCAGGTTCTGAGCACAGCTCCCAAAGTACTTATGTCTTCCGGACTGGCTGTAATCATTCACCATCTTTTGTCCCCGAATCCTGACAGAGTGCCTGAAATCTCTCCAACTTCCTCAACAATGGAAGTGGAAGAGTCTTTTGTTACTGAAGCAGAGCTCTTAAATCCCTGGGAATTTCCTGGGCCAGAAAAGCCTCTTTTGTTTTACTGAGTCTTGGTGGGACCCTAGACAGCTTCAAGGTGAAGTTGTTCATCAAAAAGATCAGGTCTTAACTAAGCAGCCTTCGAGGTTCATCATACTTTCCCTAACCTCTCCTTAGAAGCCCTTACATGCATAACACTCAGAGCGCCTCTAGTAACCAATGCACCGAGGAGAGTGTGTACTCCAACTCTGGACCCTTCCAGACTCACGCCACATCTTTCTGCTCGTCCATATCCTTTACAGCAAAGTGGTAAATACAAGTAAAGGACTTTTCTAAGTTCTATGAATTATAAAACTGAAGTATAGAGTCATGGGAGCCTTCAGTTTACTTAAAATTACATCTGAAGAGAGGGTGGTTTTGTTCAGGCCCTTTTGTGGAACTGCATTCCAGCTCAAGTACTGGCAGAACTGCATCCAATTATAGGGCTCAAATGGTGTCCTAGGAGATAGAAAATTGGTTGTTGGAGTATGGGTGTGAGGAATCATTTTTTCTTTTTTGGTAGTGCTAGGTACTGACCCTAACTAAGATCATGCTTCTGTTAGACAAATACCGCACCACTACTGAGCTATACCCGTAGCCCCATCCCACATATTTGGTGTCTGAAGCATCACTAGGTAGAACCAGATGATAATAACTGGTGTCATCTACCGACTTATCAAGAGCTAAGGAAAACCATTAACTCCTTGGCTGTTTTCATTGTTAGTGCTGGGGACCACAGTCGGGCCTTCCTCACTGCTAACTTTCCATGCTGGATTTCACAGGAAAATCAGATTAAAGGATAAGTTTGCTGTCACGAGGTGGGCGGGGGTTTGGAAACCACTGCCCTCCTAGGCTTAGACTTCACTTCCTTCGCATTAAACTGTTAATTCACCCACGTTGTTCTTCCTTTTCAGTGCTGTTCATGTCCATTTCATTCACCTCTGGGAATGAAAGGGAATGAAAGCCAAACTCTCATCAAAAATAAATACAAGGGCAAAACAAATAAGATATTTTCAAACACTCAAATGTGGGCTGAAATGATGAAATTAAAGTATTTTTAGAAAATAAGAAAAACCTGGCAGAAATAATATGCAAAGATTGTCAAAGAATTCAGAACAGTAGGAATAACCTTGCAAGGACTTTCATTTACTCAACGATGCTACACTCTCTTCTTCACCAGGATTACGTACAAATTAGACAAAATTAATTAATTAATTACATGAATTTTAAGGCTAAGTGTTATTATAAAAACTTCACTGACAAACAGGAAGTCTCTGTCAGCCAATCTAAACATCTACAAACTTATTTAGGTCATGAATGCTGATGACTGACTTAATCCAGGCTTTGACACAGCAAAGCAACAGCTATGAGAAAGGTAACTTCAAACATGGAAGTCTGAGAGGTCCCCAAACGTCTGCGCTCAAGGGAGAGAAGCGCGTGTCATACTGACACTGGGCTCTAGAGCCGCTGCTGTGGTCAGAAGTGACTACAAAACAAGTGCTACTTATTAAATCTAAGAAATCTGCACAGCTTTTTTCCTGAAAATGAGGTCTTTCAATACTACTCAAACATGGCAAAGATCTAAGCCCCCAGAAATATCACTTTCCTTTCCTGTTTTGCTCTAATGACCTATGGTTTCTAAGCCTTTTCTAATTTTCAAATTAAGGCAATATTACACCTCTGAGGTTTAGCAACGGTGTCTTATTATTTTGAAAGAAATATTTCTGTGTGTCTAAATATAAATACGGTTAACTCATTTCCAATTATTTGAATAAATTACAAGGAAAATCTTAAATGTTAAAATCTGATGTTAGTTAACAAACAACAAAATATCCCCAATAGTGTCCTAATTTCCACTGTTCTTCTAACATAGCAATTCAAGCTCCGTGCTTTATAAACAAAGAAGAAAACCAATAGTTAATAACCTAATATCAAGATTAGCCAATATAATTCTAAAATCAATCTTTCTTCTCATCTCTCCTCTACCCACTAATCATTTACACCCTTTTCCCATCCTGTCTGCCTCCATTCACTCCATCCTGGCTACAATCTGCTCCACAGACTTCATCTTAGGCAAGCACACCCAATTACCCATAGGCTATAAGCCAGACGCAGAACTGCCAGTGTTCTTGAGTGAACAAAAATAAGCCTTTATTGTTAGAAGCAAAAGTTGCCAATTCAAATTTTCCTTTGAGCTTGATGTACCCTTTCAATAGCAACTGGTTAACAGCATGAACTCAGAAGAGCTGGCTGATGTCATTAACCAGCTGCATATATTAGAGTAAAAGACTAATATTGTCTTAAAACTTAGGTTTCTTTATTTGTAAAACAGGAATACCCTTTGTTGATGAGGACTGCTTTGAGAATAGGATGAGATAATGTCCCCAGTATAGCAACTGTGGGCTACTGGGTTCATTTTACTATACCTCATAAAACCGAGTATGCCAGCACATGTTTCCAAGACCAGGACTCTCCAGGTGGAGGCAGGAAGATCAGAATTTCAAGGTCCTCCTTGACTACATGGTGAATATGAGGCATGTATAGGCTACATGAGACACTTGGTTGGCGTGGGTGCTGCTTGGTGTAGGTTTGTGTGTGAGAAGCCTGCTAGGTACTGATGTGGGATTTATCTCTGTAGGCTGTGATTACAATTAATGAATAAAGAAACTGCTTTGGGCCTATTGATAGGGCAGAACTTAGGTAGGTGGGCAAAACTAAACGGAATGCTGGGAGGAAGAAGGCAGAGTGGGAGCGATGCCATGGAGCCTCCAGAGACTTTGCTGGTAAGCCACGGCCTTGTGGTGATATACAGATTAATAGAAATGGGTTAAATTAAGATGTAAGAGTTAGCCAATAATAGCTAGAGTTAATGGGCCAAGCAGTGATTTAATTAATTCAGTTTCTGTGTGATTATTTCGGTTCTGGGTGGCTGGGATGAACAAGTGAGCCTTCCTCCTACAAGGTAGTTAGAACTGCAGGTGCACATGGGCAGGACAGGCAGGTGAGGGGCTCAGACTACCAAGGGCATTGTTAGAAGAGTGTTTGCACAGCCCAAGCTAAGCGATGGCTTACGTTCCTAAGCTGCTCCCTAGGCTTGGGTGTCATGTCTGTTTCTCCCAAGCCACTGGTGAGGTCTGTTATTCTGTTTTTGTTACAGGGTCTCACATAGCCCAGCTTACTTACCATGTTTGTTACTATGTCAAGGTCAAGAAGTGGATCAACATTTTCCAATGTTTCTTAAACATTTTTGTTTATTTTGTTTATAAACAGGATCTTCAGGCTGGCCTTGAACTTACTGTAGAGTTAAGGATGGCTTTGAATTCCTGCTTCTGACTCCACCTCCCAAGTAATAGGATCAGAGGTGTGTCATCACATCTACTTACTATATTCATTGTGCAATAAGACCCCAATTTTTAAATTTTATATTACATTTATTTACTTATTTATTGGGGGTGGACCATATACACCACAGCACTCCACACATACATTATGTAGGTCCCAGGGACGAACACTGTGAGGCCTGGCTTACAGTAGTTGCCTTAACCCTCTCGAGCCAGCTCACCAGCCCCGGAAACAACAAACCTAGTCAATAAAGAGAATTTTCAGTAATTAGACTTTTTTCAAAAATTTTGTAATTTGGAAGGGAGTATTTATATCAACTTCCCTATAAACAGACATGGCTTCATGCAACTTTTACTGAAATAAACTGCTGCCATTATAAAAAGTAGCCATAGTTTGCTAAAACTAAATATGAGAAGAGATATTCTGTAACTTACTAAAGAAATTTAGAAAATATTAAAAATTGTTACCTAAGATTCCTACTCCCCCATCCCTCCTCTCCACGGGGAACAGACTGAACTGTCTTGAGAAGACCACAGTCGTCACACACTTTTCCTTCCTGTTCTACAGATTCTTTGTGAAAGCAAAGGGAAAGGCACCTCACACAAAGTAGAGCCAGCAGGGACGGGACAGAGGCAGTATCATGGAAGCATATACCCGAGCAGGAGTTCCACATCACCAAGGAAACTCACATCATAAGCTTTCAGGGTTCTAGTCTAGAACCAAATTTCTGGGATTAGTTTCTAGAAGACAAAGTATTTTCCCCTTGCTGAACAAACAAGCTCAATATGAGGAATAGGCTTAAGTGATAACCAGTCCAGGGCAGGTTAAAATGTTTGAAATAGAAAAGCAAATCTATCGAAGTGTCTGTCAAATCAGCCAAGCCAGTAACATTTTTATTCATGTTGCAAATGGAGAAATGGGAAAGGCAGTGAGGGACTAGGAGGAGCAATGTAAGGAGGGCTACCAGGATGCCAAAGGCTGCAAAGAGAAAGGAGTCTTGAAAGACCAATGGTTCAGAACCAGACTTGGTGGCACATGTCTTTAATTCCAGCACTCTAGAGGCAGAGGTAAGTGAATCTTTGAGTTCAAGTCCAGTCTGGTCTACAAAACACAAACTGAGTTCCAAGACAGTCAGGGCTACACAGAGAAACCCTGTCTCCACAAACAAATAAAAACTGACGGTTCACCTCACTGCACTACCTCACATCAGCTGACCTCGGGTAACTCATTCCTTGTTCAACAGTTGAAAAGCACACAAGTATATGTCATAGTTTTTGTAAACTTCACACAAACCTAAACGTAACTAACTGGTAAGAGGGAATCTCACCTGAGGACCTACCTCATTTAACTGACCTGTGGGCACTTCCTTGACTGCTGACTGAGCCTGGAGGGTCTAGCCCACTGTGGGCAGTGCCAGCCTTGGGCAGGTGTGGGCTGTATAAGAAAGTGGCTGAACAAGCCCGAGGAAACAAGCCAGTAAACATCATTCCTTCATGGTCTCTGCAGCAGTTCCTGACTCCAGGTTTCTGCCTTAAGCTACTGGCCTAACCTCCCTTGATGATGGCCTGCAACCTATAGAGTTAAATAAACTTATTCCTCCCCAAATCACTTTTGACCGTAGTGCTTATTACAGCCAACAGAAAGCAGAGCAGAACATTAGAGCAGAAAGTATTTTTCTTATGTGTTCCAAAATAGGCAATTTGATTTGAAGACAAAGTATTTTTCTGTCTTTAAATGTTTTTAAAACATTTAAACAAAAGGAACTGAACACTAACTAAAGAAGGGAAATTGATTCCCCTTTTATTAATTCCTGATAGGAAATGTGATGGGGGGCTGGCAAAGGGAAAGACAATGGAACAAAGCAGAGTCTTCAAAAGGAACTTCTGGAGCTGGAGAGCTGACTCAGTGGGTGTTTGCAGGTCAAGCCTGGAAAACTGAGTTCAGACTACCCAAACCACACAAAAGCCAGATGCGGCAGTACACATCTGTAATCCCTGGCCTCCTACCGCAAGACGGGCAGGGGAACAATAGCCTGGGACAGAAAGCACAGCGGCAGAAATAAAAGAAAGCTGCCCCAAAACAAGATGGAACACTAGAAAGCAACTCTGGAAAGTTGTTCTCTAATGTCTAGGTATGTACTGTAGCACATGTGTGGAGAGAGAGACAGAAAGGGAGGGAGGAAGAAGGAGGGAAAGGAGGGAGGGGGAGAGAGGGAGGGAGGGGGAGAGAGGGAAGGAGGGTGGGCGGGCGAGCTCTGAGCAGGAATCCTAGCGACTCTGCCTCGCTGTGATTCCTCTGGAGTTCTTATGTTCTTCTAAGCTGTTTTTGTAACATGAGGACTCTGGCCTTTGCTTTCCCTTCCTTTCAGATGTTACTAAGCATACAGAGAAGCTAGGTCATAACTGGCTGAGTGACAGGAAGAAAAACTCAAAAAGCCCAAAGCTGTATTTCTACTTCCTGGCTCGTTTTGCTAAGTGATTGCATCTTGGTCTCCGGTGACAGAGCCTGAGCTGTAGTCTGGACAACATTTACTAGACTGCAGAAAGTTAAGGAAGTCCTCACTTCTCTTCATGTCCCACTACGTTCTGACTGACAAAATGGGGATACTAATCTCCCTGCCTTTCAACACCCATGTGAGGACTAGATGATGGCACCTGGTGTTCAGTGAATTCTCAATAAACTGCTCATCATACTCAAATCCAAAATGCACCCCAGCATAGTACAGGTGTTTTCAATTAGTAATCTGACTTAGTTTTAATAGTGAATGTAACACACTTTCGAATGATCTGGTAGGTCTGTGAGCGTGTCTGTGGGGGAACTGTCTTAACTACATTAACTGCTGTGATAAGACCCAGCCTAAAGTGAGGAGCTCCGTTCCGTGAGGATCCTAGAGAAGAGTGTGAACCAGCATGTATGCACTCGTTCTCTCTGCTGCCTTGTCTTGCTTAGGAAGGATGCAGCCTGGAACTTTAAGCTAGAATAAATGCTTTTCCCCTACGTTGTTCTGTCAGGAATAAAACTAGGACAGGACAGAGCTATTACATACAAGACTGTGAGTAGGGCCTTAAGAGTTCACCGCTGTGAACATGCCAACTGACAGAAGAATAAACATGTCTCATTTTTCAGATTCCATTCATCCATTCATTCATATACACAGATTTTTAACTTGGCCTCAGTGGCTTTTCTAAGGCTTCCCCTGAATAACTCAAGAAACCTACAACAATTAATTATGTTATGCTTATTTATATGTCTCTTATCTCCAAAACAAAAGAAAACAGAGGGCCCTTCCATACAGTCTGTGTATACCTAGTCCCTGAAAAACATTGGAGGATCCACCACTAGTTAAATAAATCATCAAAATCTAACAAACACATGAAAATATTTAAGTACTTTCACTTTTTATCCGATGGTTTCATTACTGCATTGAAATTTCAATTTAACTATTAAGTCACATAAAAATCTGCACACTTTCTTTACTGTATATATGAAAGTGATATACAAAACAGTATTTTAAAGAGTAGAACATCCAACCAGGCATGCATGGTGGCTCACTGATAATACAGTACTCAGGAGGCTGAGGCATAAGGACAGACTTGAGATCCAGGCCATCTTAGACACAGAGCAAGACCCTGTCTCAAAATGAAACTACAAACGCAGACAGACACGCTGTACAGTTGCTGTGTTGCAGCACAACAGCCACTTCAGGCTTCTTTCTGGTGGTAACAGAGATGCAGGGAAGTTACTGACAATGAAGGCTGTTTCTACTGGGTAGAGTGTGTCAAAGGACCCCAGTTCACAAATTCTGCATGCACTATGAAACTACACCTAAATAACAGTGGGGCAGGTACTTAACTGAGTAGTAATCCAGAGAAAGCTAAAGAACTTAATCTTTTCATTGTTAGTATATTTTCATCATCATTCTCAATTCCATTGAAATATAAAACTCTACAGACATACCAACTTTGCGCTGCGCACGCTCTCTAGTCCCCCAAAAACTTTTAATCAATTTCAAAGAAACATCTTTTACAATGCTTAGAGATATCAAAGGAGAAAAGCCAACAGTCTACCAAATCAAGTCACTTATAAAACTTGGTTTTACATTTATTAAAAAAAATACATTTGCTTTAAAATGAGTCTTAAAATTTTAACACAAACTAAAAAGTGATCTTCCAAAATACTTGTTTGTAAATCATTAACACTGATGGAGACACTGGCAGTTGTCACTTTCTTGACATAGTAAGCCATATAGAGGACAGACATGAAGGGGCAACATACAGTGTTCCAAACCACTCAACTGTCCACAAGCTAATTGGTGTGAGTGATTTTACTTAGCTCAAGAAACAGTTACTTCAGGAACATTTCCTCCTCATATTTAATTTACGTTATTATGAAACTATTTCAAAGGAATTCATTGGGACAGAACATTAAAGCCTAGATCTAACAATACTGCTTTACCAAGAGAAAAAAAGGGCAGCTGAAATTTCTGGTTTTAAGCAAAAAGAATGACTAGGGTGGTAAAGGCCATGAGCCTTATTGGGCACCTTCCCTCCCTCCGTCTGATGGGATGCCAGCGATCTTAGGGAGGACGCAGCACTCACCGGTATGGATCTTCTCGTGTCTCTGAAGCAGGTACTTCTGAATGAAACGCATGTCACACTGACTACATTGAAACGGTTTTTCGCCTTAAAATAATTTGACATCCATACATTAGTTAACGAATAAAACAACATTTTAAGTCACTACTTCTGAGGATAAGTCTTAGAAGCCCAAATTTTGGAAAATTCTAAAACACCATAAAATTAAAAAAAAAAACCAAAAAAAACCATTTTTCATTAACAGTTTTATTTTCTCTCAAAAATTTCCTACAGGATTTAAAATTTTACATTTCATAATCATATAAAAATAAAACCTGACTTACATCCTTCTAATAAAAAAAAGAGTCTAGTAAAAAAAAAGAAAATGAAAGGTATACAAAAGTTAAGAAAGCACTCTCTAGGACACCTCAGGTTACCTCCTCTTCCTTATCTGAAGTCATGCCTGCCCTGTTCTCTGGGACTGACCATCCCCATCCCTCTTTGCCCTTTTACCTATTTTCTTCACAAAGTTCACAAGTGTATAAACACACTTGAGAGAAACCCATGCTTGGAAACACTCCCTCTCTGCTGAAATCCAGCTTCATTTCAGAGTGTTGGTGGTCTGTTCTACCAGAAAGCCTTGCTTCAATGTTGCAATGCTCCTTGACAACCTCCCACCACACCTCACAAGAGCAGTCTCAAGTCTCAAATGCCTTCCCACCCACTGTGGCCAGACCTTTACAGAGGTGATTCCTGGTGTTCGCTCCGCAGAACCTTCCCCACACACTCTGTCTCTGAGGGTATGGCACTCCTAACAGCCTCCTTGCATCTCCTTTCCTTGGGCTTCTGGCCATCACCGCATTGTCCTGGTCCTTCAACTCTCCCTCACTGCCCTCTCCTTTACCCACCAAGTCATCTAACATTTCCAGCAGCTTCTCAATCTTCAGTCCTATTTTCAACAATTTCACAATTTTTAACTTCTACTTTTGTTAGCTATCATTTCTAATATCTGATTTCCTGTGCTGGTCCTGTGCTGTCCTGGCATAGAAAGAGGAGGGTGACAGGTTCTTAATACATTCTTAAGCACTTTCTCTAGTTAAATAGAGTGCTTTAAGCCAAGTAAGTACCCAATTAAGACTATTAAATGTGTGTATATATAAATATAAATATATATATATATGCTTTTTATCTTCTTATTTTAAGTCTTTCTTGCTTTCCTCCTGATAATTTGTCTACAAATTCTGATTGACAATGCCAAGTTAGCTAGGTTCTTAAGACTGGATGATATTTATACGAAGATAAAAATAACAATGATAATAATTTTAATGGCCACAAGCCCACTTTTGTTCAATACCTGTATGAATGAAGACATGTCTCTGTAAGTGATAGTTCGTTCTAAAGGCAGCATTGCAGTGCTCACAAACGTGAGATTTAGGGGTTTTCAAACCAAGTGATCCATCCTCATTTATTGTAAGGATCTAGTTTAAAAAAAAGGCAAAAACAAAAGAAAGTTTTTAAAATGTAAATAAATACTACGTTTTAAAAGGACAATATAAGCAATGGTCACTGGAGCTTGTAAATTCTTCAGAAATAATCTGGAAACGATTATTAGAATAGTGGCACCTTTAAAGCAGGAAAGTACGGTGTACTTAGATTGGGGAAAGGCAGTATAAACCCTGGAGCACTCTGCCACCTCCGTGGTACGGTGTACTCAGATTGGGGAAAGGCAGTATAAACCCTGGAAGCACTCTGCCACCTCCGTGGTCCTGCTTACGGCCACCGGAGCCCGAGTGCTCCTGTAAGGGGCTGCTAGGATGAGCACAGTTACATTTTCAATTTCAAATTCTCTGGCATGCAGAGAGAAAAGTCAGGTATCAATCAATTACTGAGAATGGCTAAAGCACAGAAAACCAATACAACTTAATTCTATGTGGTTGTAAATAGAGAAATTCTATCTACATGAATAAAATAAACATCAGGAATGGTTTAACACAAAAAAGTTCAGAACCCATTGCATAATTTTTTATACAAAAGGACACTATCTATAGAGACAGCATCTAAACATTATCTATCTAAATATACAGTGTTCATGTGTATACATGAACATACACTTATTTGTATATGTTTAATATACTACATAATAAAAAGGATGATAAACTAAGCACATAAAATAATGGATATACTGTACAGACTTAAAACATTTTTTGAGTCAGGTAAGAGTTTACCTGTTATTATTTTCTTATTTTTTAAAAACGAGAAAATGAAGTTTCCCAGTACTTTGTCTCATCTAGCACCTCTAAAGTACTGTAGAGCTAGCACTGCTGAACATGTCCTAAAATACTCATCAGATAAACCAGTGAGAAGACAGGAGAAAAGAAACCAGTTTAACCACCCTGAGTATCTTGCAATTAAGAACACTGTGAGTATGGGCTGGACAGTTACCAATAAAAGCTCACCTTCACTCTCGTGAATCCTACCTTAACAACAACTTACTCAGCGTGAGCATTTTATCCCATTAGACACATAGCAGAGTGATAAGAAAAAGTGATTCCTTTTATCATTACTGAAGAGTGAGGGAAGGTGGCAGAATATGATGTGAAGAAGCATAGAAAACTAAAAGAGAATGTCAGATGTCATGGAGCTCAGGAGCCTGAAGCAGGAGGACAGAGAGTCCAAGGGCTACATAGCAAGAACCTGAGGACGAAAAGAGGGAAAGACGGGACCAGATCAGGAGGCATGAGCCAGAGTGGGAAACAACTGTGGAGATGAAAGCCTACAGAAAGTAAACTAAGATTAGTGGCGCACTAACCCAGCACTCAGAATGCCGATGCGAGTGGATCTCTCTGAGTCCAAGGCCAGCCTGGTCTTCATAGAGAGTTCCAGAACATCCAGGGCTATGTAGAGGGACCCGTGTTACAACGCAACAGTTCACCTCTAACACGAGGGAGGGAGGCAGGAAGGCAGGGAGGCAGGAAGGCAGGAAGGCAACAGATTGTTTAACATAGGAGAGAGAGATCTGGACAGCATCTTAAGAAATACAAAAGGACTGTGGAAACTGACTAGGGCCTACAAACACACAACTATGATCCCTTCTTCAACCTAGAAAAGAGAAGTAGTGAAGGAAAAATGACTTTAATCTTTAGAGTATCTTTTTACTTTGAATTCAGGGAGACAATTCAGCCTATACTATATGCAAATCAATGATAATTAGTATGCAAATTATACAGGGTATTTGGGTTCTGGGCAAATTGCCAATATGGTCAACAATGCTTCAAGTCTATGCACCCAACACATAGAAGGGACACATTTGGCAGGAGACTGGAAGTGGGTGTCACAGCTTCCTGAACAGACAGTGAGAATAAAAGTCTGATTTCTGGCCAGTCAGGTTTCAACTTTTTTCAGTTCCTCTAAGTCACATAATAATAATGTAAATTAACATTGTACAAAAAGAAAATACACAAACACTCTTAAAATAGGATTCAAAATATGCAAAAAATGATGATAAGTATTACATATAATAAATAAGATGATAATACCAGGCTTTCTGCTTCTCACATAAGTTGATAAAAATAAGATCTGAGTGCCAAAAGCCATGGCAGTTCAATGGCTTTCCACAGCACAGCAATGGGGAGAAAAGGTCTTGTAGGCATAACTCTGGCCTATGCTGCATTCTGTGAAGCGGATGTAACCCTTTATGGACAGCTAGGAGTTCTGGGTAATTATTTTCAGCACTGGAAGTCGTCATGCTATCTTCATTCCAGTATTAATTCAAGGCAGAATTACATAGATGAAACAGATACCACTACATTATGGCAAACACACTAAAACCAACCCAGCATATTTATAAGTTCAAGTACAAATATCAAATTCTCAGACATTTTAAATTTAATTTTCTTTTCCTTTGTGAGGCCAGTGTAACACATATTTTTGTTTAGAGGGTTAGAAAAACATCCACCTTGCCACAAACAAACATCAATGGCTTTTCCTATTTGCAATCTGTTCGAAATGTATCCACACGAACTTGCCTGTTTCATTCACTGCTATAATCCCAATGTCCAAACATGGAGTTTGGGGCACAGTGGATTCTGCACCTATCACTGACAGAGTTAGCTGCCTGCTACCCATACCAAATAGCCCTCACAACTTAACACTTCATTCTTTAAACAAAAACAAACAAAATAAAAAGTTTTCTAAAAATGTACTTGTCCATCTAGTGGCCTTCAGATCATCCACTGACTAGGTACCATAGAAAGGAGAGCAATCCAAGACTAAGTGCAGGCATGGAAGAACAGCATACTAATTCTGCCAAACTGTCTTCCTCAGTATACACTTGACTTATCCTTTTTACAAAGATTTTATTTATGTATGTATTTTATGAATGAGTGCTCTATCTGCATGTCTGCCTGCATGCCAGAAGAGGGCATCAGACCCCATTATGGATGGCTGTGAGCTGCCATGTGGTTGCTGGGAACTGAATCAGGTTCTCCACAGCCAGTGCTCTTAACTGCTGTGCCATCTCTCTAGCCAATTTGACTTATTCTTGTTTACACCCTTTCAGGATCTTTTTAAGTTGTGATCCAATGATTTGAGACATTTACCCTAAAGATTAGCTGTCTTGCTTGTTATTAGTAGCAAAAAATATTTTTGATTTGCTTTCCCGCCACTCAACATATGATCACCATTACAGCAGCAGAAGCTGGAGGTTCATGTTTTAATTCCTAGGACGTAGGAGGCAGCAGTTTTTAGTTTTGGTTGGGGATTCTGTTTTGCTGGCAAGCATGTTCAGAGTCCAGAGTTCCAAGCTTGGAATTACAGGTGTGCTCCTTGAAGCTCGACCTCAGAGCAGCAGCTCAAGCTTCCTCCCGTCACCACTGCTTCAGACAATCAGCGCATCACACAGACCGAGCAAGTCAGGCTCCTCTGCCCAGGAGAACAAACTAGCAGTAATGCAAACATCCACCAACTCTTGTGAGTTTCATATTTGTCTAACAGGGTTAAAGTAAGATTTTACAGGAAAAAAAACTGTTTGGTATCTTATGAAATTTCCTAGCTATTCTGTGTCCCTAATCTCATGGTTCACCATGTATTTTTATTTTGAGACAAATTTATTTCTAGCTAGAACCACATATACTTATTTATATATTTATTACATACATGCACATGGAGAGTGGGAGGGGCCTTAGGAGTGAGGAGGGCTCTCTTAGTAATACACTTCTTTTTACCAAGCAAAGGTCTAAACTCCGCTTATTCAATTGAGAGACCTCACTCCGGGATCAATCACACTCCTCCATGAGAAAAGGTTCTTCTCAAAAGACAAGCATGGCTTTTCACACTGTATGTGCATACTACTAAAATCATCCATTCATATTTTAATCTAATGACTATGGACTTATGACACCTTTCAACATTAACTGACATCAGTGTTTAAGCCACTCAAACCCAAGAGAACTTAGAAATGATCTAAACCAACGGTTCTTAACTTGTGGGTCACAACCCCTTTTGCAGGGGTTGTATATCAGATATCCTGCATATTAGAAATTTGCATTACAATCATAACTGGAGCAAAATTACAGTTATGAAGTAGCAATGAAATTTTATAGCTGGGGGTCACCACAACATAAGGAACTGTATTAAGCGGTCACAGCATTAGAAAGGTTGAGAACCACTGATTTAAACCCTCACCAATTATGAGTTGTAAATTATTAAACTTACAACTGAGGGTGTGAAAGGTACTTTCAAGATTTTCTTCCTGCCAGGCAGTGGTGGCCCAAGCCTTTAAGCCTAGCACTCAGGAGGCAGAGGTAGGTGGATCTCTGAGTTCAAGGCCAGCCTGGTCTACAGAGTGAGTGCCAGGGCTACACCAAAAAGCCCTGTCTTGAACCCCCTGCCAAAAAGAATTTTCTTCCTTCTCTGAAACAATGGCAGAGTAAAAGTTATCTGATTAAGCTGGTCAGAGCTAGTCCCTCACATTCACAATCTCCTTCTTCAGGATTTTATGTCTCTACACCACATTTTACTTATTAGCAAATTTCATTTTCAAATAGTAAGCTTTACCAGTGTCAGAATATGAAACTCACTATGTTATAAGAATGGACTCTGACTCATATTTGTCATACTGGTCTTGAGAGTTTAAAAGACTTGTATATGGGGGGGGGGGGTGTCAGTTTGCTCCGTCTATCATATGGGTCCTGACAGTCACACCATCTCACTGACCACTGATCTTAGAAAAGATCATGTTTTTTTTTTTTTTTTTGAAAAACACTCATGTTTCCCGAGTGCAGACAAGCAGGTGAGAACCTCTAAAAGATGGCCTCTTCTCACTATTAGAATCTTCTTAATGGTTCACCTCTATGGAAAACAATTTCTCCACAATGCAGTCACTCTTTGGGGAAAACCAGATTAATGGATTATTAGTATGCTACGTTTCTAATTTTCTTCCTTCATTTTCTTATTAGCATTATGTTTGCTTTCCTATTTT